AGCAGATCGACGGGGTATTTCTGTTACCGTCAGAACGTATTGACAGAGGCTCTTGGCACCTGCAGGCACCTGCGTCACTGATCCTGCGGAGTATTAACCTGGTTTCGCTTCGGAGAGCGACCTCGGCGGCCCAGGCGCTGCCTCTGCGCTAACAAGGGTTAGTCTTAGACGCCAAGTACACTGCGTGCCCTCATTTTACAGGAACAGCCACACGGTGTTTGGACGGTGTTTTTTTTTTTGGGGGGGGAAACGGAGGCGGCTCTTGTCTTGAGAGGCACCGCGCTGTTGCGCTCTGCCCGCCTGCGGCTCAGGTCCCGGGCCCGCAGGAGCTGGGTGTTCGAGTCCAGTCCGTCTGTGTGTGTGCACCTCTGCACCAGCAGCAGCTCCCTGATCTTCCCAGCACGTCAGTGTTTACAGCACATCCATGCATCCCAGCTCCTTCCTGGGCAGGCTGCTTGGGTTTCCCCTGCCAACGAGAGAAAAAGAACAGTGTTAAGTACTGTCCATCACACCCTAGATGAGGGTGAAAAAAAGAGAGGCCAAGCTTTTTCCCCTGTGGCTGATCCACTGCGACCTGTGACCAGAGAGGATGTCTGTGTGTTGCAGAGCCCTGCTGTAGTGCCTGTTGTGTCTTTGCTCACCCTCCAGAGTGCCCTGCAATGTGTCTGTTTGTCTGACCACAATAGCTGACAGCTTAGAGCAGTTTGGCCTTTTTTGTTGAACGACCATAGAGCGATCCATAATGAACACAAGAAGCACAGAGCCGATATATGCAGTACAGTATATATTCACTTTGTGCTATAAAGTGCCATGATTCAGATACCTGGTTTTAATGTTTATTGTAAACAGCTGTTTAACATATTACATATTTAAATGAATTAAAATGATCATGATGTAACCTAAACTGTGGGTTACACTCACCTACCCAAAGGTTGTACCTGGAGCTCCACAGGTATTAAGAGATCCCACCGATCCAGAAAACCACCCCGAGGGTGTCCAACAGCAGTCTGTCCACCAGGGGGCAGGGCGGGCTATATTTCTCAGCCTCAGCACCACACAGCAGACCTGAAGTGTTAATTATGCCAAGACTGGGGCGCCCTGATTCCTGCCAGGCGTTAACCCTCATTACCTCAGGGCCCCTTAACAACTGGGGCAGGGATTTATCACTGACTAAGTCTTCTGGCCACAAGCTTGAACCTAATATTCTCTCTGGAGTGGTAGTGGGATTTCAGGGAATAAGAAAGAGGCCTCCGACACTTCATTGTGCCAAACCGAGTTAGAAATAAGGCTTTTAGCTTTCGATAGATGGGGTTCAGTCTGCTGCACAGTGTAATTATTTTAGGACCCGAACAAGAACTCTTCATGAACGTTCGGTATTGTAGGCTCATTTACCTTATCTTTCTGGTTGCGCGTCCTGTTGAGCATGAAGCTCGCAGTCACGGGCTGTTGTTTCCGTTTCAGCGTGTTGTGTGATCCAGAAGATCGTAATTCCGAACAGAATCCCGAATGCAGGGTGCCAATACAAGTAGCATTGCAAGAGCTCCCCGATACCCACTGACTATATCAGGGTTGTTGTTGCGTCTTGGAAGGTTTGCTGTTACGGCGTGTGAAACAGTAGCCGGACGCAGTGTCAGAACTACGCGCCGTAGTGCCGAAGGCTGAGGCTGGAGCAGCGGATAGCATTCGGGCGGGAGACAGAAGCGGGCAGTCACAACGAGAGCCAGCTGTGGGACGGGGGACAGGGAAGAGGGGCAATCGAGAATCGCAGGAGGGAGCGGGCAGGGCAGAGTGTGGCCCGCAGAGCGAGCATGGGTTCGACAGCTGGCAGCGTTTGTTAGCACGCAGCAGGGAAGGGTCTGCACCGGGGGACGCTGCGCGCAGGGTGTCCGGGTAGGATTGTGGTTGCCTAGCAACACCTCGCATCCCAGCGAACGGCTCCTGCAACACTACAAGTAAACGCTTTTCATAAGAGGGGACCATGGGAAGGGTACAGTGCGGGGGGGGGCTAAGCGGGCTTTTTGAATGTCCTGCACTTGGACAGGAGGCCAGAGGGATTGACAGCAACCTTGATTTCCATCTAAGGTTGGCAGGTAAGTTCGTAACCACAGCTAGTGAGACTGCAGAGGGGGGGCAGAGCTGCATGACTTCCCCAGGAAGAGCTGGCCCGAGTGGGGCAGGAAGAGGAGAGGGTGTTTATCATCGTGGCAGTGCACTGAATCAAGGCTGACAGACATACAAACTGAACGGTCTCCAAACACCTTTTAAAAAAAATAATATTTCACTTAATGTCAAATTCCCCACATCTGGGTCACTACATTTATTTTTCTGGTCAGAAAACAAGATTCGTTTCACAAAGAGCATGCTTTTTCAGTGTGTAGACAGTCACAGCAGAGTCTCCATGAAGTCTCGGCTGGCTTTAGCTGGGCTGGAGGGATGTCCTTGGTATTCGAAGCAGCCTTGAAGCAGGTCTCCATTTAGAGCACGTTTCTAATGCATCCTTGACTTTGTCAAAGGTCGTCTTCATCTGTGGGCTGTAAATTTAAGTGGTGATAAGTGACTGATCGGAGCGGTAACGTTAACCTTGTTCATACTAGACAAATGCTAAAAGGGAATAGACATTGATTCCTGTTTCTTTTTCTTGTTGTTCATGTCATTTTGGCCTCGTTTCCCTTTCAGAGCAATTAGTTTTGACCAGGCTTAGCAAGGACACTGCTTGCCTCTCTCCCCAAAGTGATGAAGAAGGTATGGGAGCCAGGATATGCTCAAGGATGTCAGATAAGCGCTTTCCTGGGACATTTGATAAACGTGAGTGCACGTGGAGGGGCCTGGCCTCAGTCTGTCGGGAATGGGGACTGACATTAGAACTGCATGCGCCTTCTCTGCCCTCCTCTTTACAGTACAGCAGCCCTCAGCCAAGACCCACACTGCATGGAGGGGACAGCGCCATCTGCTCACAGCTCATTGGGTTCATCAGGGCGTTTTTACAAGTCACCATTATTTTTGCATTATTTATATTACTAGTATGCTGTAATGGGTGCATTAAAAATATATGCCGTGTTCTCAGACACACCCCAAAATAGTGCGCAAGTTTATATATTTATGTTCCATCCTAGTCATTTACTGGGCTCCAACGTCCTCTAGTTTCACCTCCATAGCTGCCTCACTAACAAGGAGAATGTGGAGTCACTGCACACTGCTCAGTATCGGAACAGACCTGCTCAGGCACAATCTGGAGTTGCAGTAGTGCATGCATGGGTCACAACACTGCATGTTTGTGTGCATTTGCTCGGGTTGGCATGTGACTATCAAACCTTCATTGTGGCTGCTCCTACAGAGCACCAGCGCTGACTAACTGGAAAAAAAAACAGCTTGCTTTTTTATCAGTAGCAATAGAGCAGGCATCTTCTGCTCAATATGTCTGGGCAACACAGCGGTTTTCTTGCTTTTAATTTGAATCCTGTCCTCTATCCAGGGCCCACTGTGAAATTTCTATTGAGATGTTGAAGTCAGGATTTTGGGAGACACGGGCCGGCGTCTTGTCCAGGGTGTATCCTGCCTTGCGCCTCTTGCTTGTGGGGATGGGCTCTGGCTCCCCTGCGATCCAGTATTGGATATAGAGGTTACATTAAGGGGGTTGGGAATGACTCTTAATCTCTCCTTAGTAAGAGCTCAGGGGCTGCTGTTTCCCCAGTTTTGATTTAGTTTTGCGCTTTGCTCATCAGGAAGGGTTTAGGAGAGTGAGCAGGCTTTTCTTTCTTAGGGATCACGGGTGTGATTTACTGGGTTTGATGAGCTGGGCCTGCACTGGTGTAATGTGCCACAGCTCTGGCACATTGTCAGAGGTCTGTAGAAAAACAGGCTCTAAATTTCTGACCTTAACGTTCTTTATAAGAGACCATCTTCTTTCCCACCCTCTCCTCTCAGCTAGTGCTGGTGAATGCAGACCTGATGCAAAAATATTGGATTTACTGCAGTGAAAGCTACACTTGAGTGTAGTATTGTTGATTCAGCTCAGTGTTTCTGGTGAAGAGGATCAGTCTTCCTGATTCTCTGGAGGCTAGGCCTTGGCTGTCTGGATGACAGGCAGATGTTCTTAGACACAGACTGAACATAAGAACAAATATCTCATCTAGCCCTTTTGATAGTAGCTAGTTGATCCAAGGATATCACCCAGCTGTTTCTTACAGGAAGCCAGGGTACCAGCTTTGACAGTGTAGTTCGTTTTTCGTTTTCACGCACCTTCTTTGGGGGAAGAGGGTGCCTCCTGCTTGCTGTTGTGAACGCACTTCGGCGAAGTCTCCGCCTGCGTCCTGTGCTTCACGTTGTCTGATCTGAGGAGGCCCCCTGGTGGCCTTCTCGACTCGGGACTAAAACGATTCCCTTCCTTCAAGTCTGTCAGTGTAGGAGATGTAGCTCGCCACTCTTCGGCTTCTTAGCCGAGCTCTGTCGGGGGGGGGGGAGATATCAGGACTGTGCTGGCTGTGTGATCGCGACCGAGACCTCTGCCCTGCCGGCTCTCTGGCTCGGGTCCAGGGTGGCGAAGGGTGAGCTGGCACTCCCAGCTCCCTCTCTGTCCCGGTGTTCCCCCCTGTGCGCCCCGCTGCCTCTGGGGGCACCGGGCCCTGCGGCGGATTACAGGGAGAGCTGCGGAAGGGCCGGGATTAGGCAGGGGAAGTGGCGGCTCTAATCGGCTTTCCAGACGTCCGCTCGGCCGGAGACGCCGCGTCCGAGGGGCTGAGGGCTGGGAGACATTCGCCATGCCGCGGGCGGGCAGGCATCTGCGGGGACAGGGCTCCATAGGTAACTACCTTTCTTGCCACCCACCCCTTGGCACAGACAGGGCGAAGACCGGCATGGCTTCTGTGCCATGATAAGAGAGGCACGTGCACAGAGTCTTAACTGGTCTGAATCTAATCCTGCAGAGGCTGACAGGCAGTGCTTGCAATCGGTCCTTCTCGGGAAGAGGAGTGAGGGCCTGTCACTGTCAGCGCGGCGCTGAACTACCCTGTAGTTTGCTGAACCTTCATCCGGTACCATGCAGTGCTGTACTGACCCAGTGGTTTCCTGATCTTGCACACTGTGATTTGCTTTGCTACTCTGTACCACGCAGTACAGTATTGATGTGTGCTGTCCTCTACCTTCTTACTCTGTACAGAAAGGGTTTTCGGATGGATCTTTCTGCTGAAGATGTAGATGTACATTGGACGTCCCTTACAAAACGAATCTGAAGGTTCCTGTAGAGGTGTTCTGATTGTCTGTAGAAACGGAGGTCTTCAATAGGTTCTTTTGTACAGCAGAGCTCCAGTGACTTTAGAAATACTGTGCACCATGGGCTAGGTGTGCTAGTCCAGGGGTCGTAACCTCTGTTTTCTTTCGGCTGTGTCTGTTTTGGGGACAGCTGTGCGAAATGATGACTCGGGATTCGGAGGAGTTATCCTAGAAGGACGCATAACCCCTTTGGTTAAACTTTTAGATTTCTTTCATGCACAGTAAGTGGACTTCAGACAACAGAGGAATCTTTTTGTGCAGCTCTGCTGTGAAGATGGGATCAGAAAGAAAGTTCAGAACAAGGAGTGTCCTCTCAGGGCGCCTGTGCTAGCTGGCTTTGATCTGTCAGCACCGAAGAGGGGGAAAGAGAGAACCAGCTCAAACAGGTCATTAGAGGGAAACCAGCACATGAACAGCGATAGAAACCTGATTCTTTATTTGCACTATAGGTAGATCTGCTTCAGATCTCACTAAAGTGCACAATGAAAGGTGAAGAAAACGCATTTTATCCCACCAACAGCACACTAAAAAAATGATTATATTACATTACCTACAGAAGAAACTAGCAAAACCGGTCTTGGCAGTACTTCTGCGTTGAGTGAAGTCCTGCTGCCATGAGCACTGAAAACTGCATGAGCACCCATTTTTCCATGTCATTCTTCTGCCCAGAAAAAGGTTTATTGCATTGAATCGCGCAGATGTTGCAAGGGTTTTGTTGCCTGGCTAAGCGAAGATAAGTACCAACAGCACACAAGGTTTATGGCTTTTTGCTTTCCAAGGTCATATTCCCAGCTGTGTGTGCAGTCAGGGGTCTGTTCACAACCCTGCTGATGACAGACTAGGGGATCCACACACCCGTTCGTCTGCGGCTGGCTGGCCAGCGCACACGCAGGTTTATCTGTTGAACCAGCTTCCAGGGCATTGTCTCTCCTTCTTCATCAGTCAGAGCTGGGACAAAGAAGGCCTGCCCTCACCCCTTGTGTGCACGCCTGGTCTGTGTTGCCCTCCTATCGCAGAGCTCCACCTTTCCCACCTCCTGCTGGAAGATCTCTGTGCCTCTCTGCCCATCAGGGCCTTTGTGGTACATTATTTTCTGCCCATGTGTGCTCCAGGGGGGAAAGATAACAAAAAGAAAAGGTCTCTGTGAAAGAGCTGCACCCGTTAGGAACAGGTGCATGTCCTGCTTTCTAGACGTGTGGGACATTTGAGCTTTGGATTATAGTGAGGTCTTCTTTGGAGAGACCCTGTGCAGTAGATTTAAGTTTACTTTATTTTTTTTTTATCTTCCTTGCCTCAGAAGGGCAGCTTTGAAGCAGACAGCTCTGTTTGAATTGTCTGTATAGAACTGACATTTGATGAGAAAATGTGTTACACTACTGCCGATTTGCAAGATCGAAGTGTTGGGAAGACTCACGACATTGAATTTGTTTGTACTTACTTCTGTTGCACATGGGCATGGGCCCAAGCTTGATATAATTGTAGATGGATGGTACTGGGCTGTAATCTGTAATACAGACACGGCTTATCTCCAGTGATGGTTTACAGTGTGCTCCTGGGGCCATGCCTCATCCCTGTAAACAGAACAGGAAGACGGATCCCTGCTCAGACGGAGGACCGGGGAAGCAGATTGCACTGGAGAACAGTGCATGTTTGAGGATGCCTGCTCGAAACCTGCCACCACACCCAGCGGCAGCAACGCCGTGGGCTGTGTGGGTGTACCTGTCTTTACTGGTGCACGCAAGGCCCATGTCCTGCTCGAACCCTGAAGAATGCTTCAGGCTGGACTCGAAGTGGGGGAAAAGGAGCATGTGTGACGGAAGATGTCAAATCCCGTTTAATACCTTCGCAGGTTGTTGGCACATCACTTTGGACCATGCAGACTGACACCTGCAGTGCATGTGCCTGCGCAAGAGGTAGCTTGGTAGGCAGAGGCAAGGCCTGATGGGCTGAGATGGCTTGGAAAGATTCTGTCGCAGCTGGTGACGCAGTTGATGAGATGCTGGACTGACAGGAGCGGCAGCTCTAGAAGGCGAGCCCAGCACGCTGTTCCCGCAGAAAGCTGTTGGTCTGCACTCGCTGGAGACGGCGCTTCTCCGGTCGGGGTACAGGAAGCGAGTCCTGACCCCCCCCGCCCGCGTGTTCTTCAGCTCCCGTGGGATTATAACCCACCGAGGGGAAACACGCCCTTCACACGGCCTCTCTCTCAACGACACATCACTTCGTTAGTTTAAGTACACGTCTGAGTGGCATAAAACCTTTGTTCATCTCTTTAAGTGTTATTGCTTTTATTAATTATTAACGTAATGTCCCGATGTTTAATCCTGAACCCTTTAACGCTATGATATATAATTAAAGGTTTCCCAGAGGCAAATGCGCAACGGTAAAAGAATATATTTTAGCGCCTCTGGGGTTCACGGGGGTATGCGCCCTCGCCGCTGCCGCCTCAGGTCGGCCCCCCCACCACTGGGGACTCGAACCCGGGCCTCCGGCGTCACTCAACAGGGACCCGGCCAGTTGAACTGAAGGGTAGCCTCCCGTCAGCCCGGCGGCTGAGGTCCCTGCTATTCGCAGGGAAGGGCGGTGACGTCACCGCGCTGGCAAGCCGGCTCGCACAACCTGCAAAAGCGGCCGTATGCGTTACAATACTGTGAAACTTTAAAAAGCGTCAAAAAAAAGTCATTTGGGTCGCCAGATGCGGCGTTTCCAAAGCGAGCCTCCAAAAAAAAAAAACGTTGGAAACCCCGGAAAACGGAAAAAGAACAAAGGGCCCCGAACCCGAAACCCCCAAAAACGCCAACTAAAAAAGCAAAGGGTAAAAAGCCCCCCCTTCGAACTGTTAGCTGACATGAAATCAGATTATTCCTCAAGTCAGGTCAAACGTTTTTTTTTTAATTTATTTCAAACGACGACAACAGCAAAACAGCGGGACTCTCGCCGTCATGCATAACGGATTGAAACTGTCAACCCGGCCGCCCCGGAGAGGCGTGCTGGCCCTTTAAAAGGGGCTGAAGGCTAGAGCCCCTGAGCTCCGAGGAGGAGCACGCTAGCGGGGGCCGAGGGCGAGCGAGCGAGCGAGCGTCTCCCTGCCCCGAGGGCACCCTCCGCGACGGGGCGTGTGTGCGGAGCCGCAGGCGGGCGAGCAAGGGGAGCTCTCCTGGCGGCTCCATCACTCTTCGCCTCGGCCGGCCTGCAGCAGCTGGGTAAACCCGGCCCTTTTCTCCCCCCGAAACTGCCTGCGCGGAGGACGCTTTTCATTATTCATCCCCTCCAGGTGCCCGAGGGCGGAAGCGGCGCTCCCGGAGCTGAGCTCGCAGGGAGGAGACGAGTGCCGGAGAGAGGAGAGAGGAGGAGGAGGAGGAGATGGGAGGAATAATCGGGGAAGGGGGGTGGTGGTGGCAAAGCCTATCGCTGCGCGATGCCGCCTATTATCGTGCTTCGACTCCTGTCATCATCAACCCCAGATGGAACTGAGCCTCCGCTGCCTGAGAGGCGGGAGCGGAGCGCGTTAAATATAAACAAACAAACCCCACAACAAAAGCGTGGCGTATAGTGCCTCCATCAGCAGGTTGCTTTATTCGCCCGGGGGGTCCCCCCTCTGGGCACAGCTGGTGCCGGTGGTGTCGCTTTCTGAGCGGCCGGAAAGAGAGGGGGGGACGCTTGTCGGGAACGTGTCATCCAGCGCAGGTGGGGTGTGTGTGGGGGGTGCGCGCGGGGGTTGAGAGAGAGAGCGAGCGTGCCAGGGAGAGCCGGGGTGGCGCGCGCTCGGCATCACTTAGCGACGGTGCGCCTGTCACCGCGGCACGTTCCGACAGGGGTCTGACCGCCTCTCTCTCTCTGTCTCTGTCTCTGTCTTTCTCTCTCTCCCTCCTCCTCTCCTCTCTCTCTCTCTCTCGCCATCTCCCTGCCTGCCTGCCTGCTCTCCTCTCCTCTCCTCTCCTCTCCCGCTGGCCCATCCCTCCCAACTGCGCCGGGGCAGGACCCACCTGTTCGTCCTCGGGCTACCGGAAAGCGGAGGATGAGATGTCCGGCACCACGTCCCAGGCCGACCCGCTGGACGCCGCGGCTCGGACCCTCGTCCTGAACCAGCCGCAGCTCACCAAGTTCTGCGACAACCACGTCAGGTGAGGCGAGTCCGGACCCAGCCCTTCCCCTCGCCGCCCTCAGTGTAGACAATTAAGTAGCAAGTCCCACTTTTTCTTAAACCGCAGTTTGTTTCCGTTGCAAAGGAGCAAGTAACGGGTTTATTCCGTTACTGAGAAGGGAAGGAAGAAAACACAACGTTTCGGCTGTGGAGCCTAATTCGGGTTTGTTTGTTTGTGTGTTTTAATGAAATTAACAACGCTTCTGGAGACTTCTGTTTTGTGTTTGTGGCCGCTTTTTTTTTAAAAAACGAAAAAAAAAAACAAATGACCCGCAGGCCGTGTCAGATCGCAAGCCCGGATACTTCGGGAAAACGGTTCCTACTTTTCGCGACACTAGGTTTAAATCACGCGTGCTTCCGATCGTAGTTTCTGATTTGATGTGTGTGGGGTTCATAAATAGGCGGCGATTTTGTCGTTTCGTCGGAGCAGGCTTCGTTAGCATCCTCGGCGGGACCGACCTCACGCCTCGTCATGTCGGTTAGGTTCATGACTCCCGGCCTTTGCAACTGTTACAGTGAACGCTAAAACCGTGACACAATCGTGCTAATTCCCCCCCAGTGAAAGATTACAAGTACAGAATATCTCCTTTGTGCCTCCCGCAGTTGTATCAGTGGGCAGCAACTGACAGCAACTACAAAAAACTTCGAATCCTATTGAGTATGTCTCCGTATATAACGTAAAAGTGCGTGGAATAAAAGAAAAAACATAGTATATTTACCACAAAAGCTGGATGTAAAAAAAAATAGTTTTACAACCTTGCAACGGTGAAGGTTAAGACAATTTACATTTAGTTGAAAAAAGGGCTTCCTTATCGAACATTTGTGAATAATGTTTCTATGGTAATCTGAATACTACGTGTGAAGTGCTGTTTTGCTGTTAAGCTCTAGCAGCTGTTTATTCAAACTGTACTGTTTGAGTAACACCAGTTGGTACAACAGATACTGACTGTATAAGGAGCTCTAAGGCATGTAGTACAACAGGTAGCGGATGATGTTGAAATGAGTGATGTAGCCCATTGCCCAGAACTGAGTGCTTAATAAAACATGACCGGCGGGATTGATGTCATCACGTCAGAAGACACGCAGCAGCTCCCATCGTGGCTGAACAGTGAGAATGTGTGAAGCTGCCCAGAGGGTGGAAGGGCTTCAGTAACGCTCTCTGAGGTGTCGTTTAGGCCATTATTCGAGCTTTACCTTTAACTTTTATCTCTTTCATACACACAAGACATCTCGCATTCACACAAAACATCTCGCATTCACTGGGTTTATCTCTTTCATACACACAAAACTCTCACATTCACTAGTTTTATCTCTTACA